CCCAGAATTCCCCAGCCAGCCATGCTGGGAGTTCTGGGAGTTGAAGTCCACACATCTTCAAGTGGCCAAGGTTGAGAAATGCTGGTTTACAAGAATTCTCTTCCCATCCTCTTTTTCCTCGGCTAGATGAGACTGAAAGCCACTTCTCATCTGCCTTCCCCCTTGACTTGCAACAAGTCTGTGCAGTTTGCAAAAAAATGATACAACTATAGTGACAGTTACATCAACAGTAAACAGAAACTTAATGTTAGATCTCCCTCTGCATCTCTGAGCCCCAACTCATACGTGCCTGGTCTGGAGATTAGAGATGACAACCAAATTTGATCTTAAAAAACAAACCAATGTTATCTACAAGTATCTCTGGTTACTACTACTACTATTGTTGTTAATATATCCTGCCTTATTTTGTACAACTCAAGGGGGTATATATAATGCTCCTGCCTCCTGTTTTCTCCACAACAATCCTGAGAGGTGGGTTAGCGATCTTTGCCATGCCTTCGTTGGTTTTTAACATCTGATTGGAAGCACATCTGTGCTTTTTATTTATATATATAAGTTTTATTAAAGATTTTAAAAAGAAAGATTAAAACAATACAATAAATGCAAACTAATATAAAGGGGAAAAAAGGAAAAAGAAATCAAAGAGACAGCTCAAAGTGCAAGAAAGGGAAAAAAGTAAAAAAATAGAAAAGAAAGAAAAAAGATACGAAGAAGTAGCTTCTGATCTTTACAGCAGTTATAATTATAAATTTACCTCTTGCTCTAGGTTACAAAATGACTCTCTTCTTTCTATAATCTAGCCTGTCTACTCATCAAAACCGTAAATCATAAGTTCATTTTTTTCTGTGCGTACTATATATTCCTACCTTTGCTGATCATGTGACATTCATATAAATGTACACCGTGCCCCTTGAGCATCAGACTACAAAACAACTGTAACTGGTTTGCTTTCGTCTCTTCCTGTATAACAGCTTTCGAAAGCGGATTGCCGACTGTAGGTGCTGGCCTGTAGAAATTACCAGAGTGCCAGTGGTCACATCCACGAAAGTCAAAGGTGGCAAAGGAGAGAAGGTGAAGTACCAGTTGATCATCATCTTCCTTTACTTTAATATTTGGTCAACCCTGTGAGGTGAGTTGGGCTGAGAGAGAGGGACTGGCCCAAAATCACCTAGCTGGCTTTCATGCCTAAGGTGGGAGTAGAGCTCACTGTCTCCTGGTTTCTAGCCTGTTGCCTTCACCACTACCCCAGGCTGGCTCTCTTTATTCATTTATTATTTATTTATTAATTAAATTTTTCAACCGCCCATCGCCCCCCAATGGGGGAACTCTGGGTGATTCACAACAAACATTAAAAACATAAAATAGATCAA